CTTCGTGATTTAGAGGTGTCCGCTTAGCAATTCTTAGTGACTTTAGTGTTTCATCACCACACAAGTCAAAGGATCCGAAATTCGCACGTTTTCTAGGGATATTTTATCTTTCAAGTAGGTCCTCAAATCCAACGAGATGTGAAGCACACGGCGCATCCCAGAGTGGGCCCAGTTGGTTGCGCGCGCTTCAGCTACGGCTATCTTGATAACGAATCTTAATTCAGGAAGAATCAAGAGGGTTCTGAAAGAGTTCATGTTAAATTACAGAGAGGAGTACACTATTCAACAAGAAACGCAGCCTTCAGCGTCAAATTCACAAGCATGTAACCTTTAAAGTTGAGACCCGCTAAACAATTTTACACTTTTTGCAGAGAGAAAAGCACGAGGATTTTGAATCTGCTCCTACTTCAGTATGTAATCGCTCCTGCAAGGAGCTATAGTCGTTGGGATAGTGCTAATGTAGCGAAAAAGTACCTTTCGGCGGTACTCGGGCAAAAATCCTCAACGTGGCCATTTTTTAAATAGTGAACGTATTTAGCAGTTTTAGTTGCCTATAGAAAGAGCAAATCTTCTAGTTTATGATGACGTATTAACTTTCCAGATTGCATGAGTTTGAACGGAGTTATGGCTTTGGAAAGCGTAAAAACTCGCACTCATCACGAATTTTCCTCGTTAATTTTGCAAAAATCCTCAACGTGGCCATTTTTTGAGTACTGGACGTATGAAGCTGCTTTAACCGTTTGATAGAGAAAATCTTCTAGTTTTGTATGACGTATCAACTTTTTGAATTTGACGGAAATGAAGCAAGTTATTGCTCCGGAAAGTGTAAAAACTCGTGCTCGTCTCGAATTTTCCTCGTTATTTGATCTAAATTTGTTATTTCTTATAACTTCCTGTAATTTCAGTACTGATTAGAAAAAGCTCTTCACAAAACTCCCAAATCAGCTTTCAGATTGAAAATTCGTTAAAGTTATAATCATTTGAATATTTGTTCAAATTTCAATAGTAAATAAGCTGCTCCACGGTCAACGCCAAAGTCCAGTCAACACACAGCTGGCGAAGGCTTTTACAAGGCTTCCTTTGAGCGAAAGGGGGACGTGTAAATTGAGAACCATAATCTGTGTAGTACTAGAATTTGGTAAGTCTTGTGGAGGAAATAAACAAAGAAGAGGTGTTGTCATAGTACGCCATTTCTAGTGACTAGTTTGACGTTTTTTGCTCCGTTTCTCGTTTGCTCGTTTGACAGGACTCGTCATTAATGATCATTCTTTGACTTTTTCACTTTTATACTTTTTAAACGAGTTTTTTTGTGGACGATGGGGTAGCAGGGCTTTTTTATGAGCAGTTTTGGTGGAGAATTAAACAACTTTTTCATAGTTCGGCTTTTAAGAGGGTTGTTTCATGGACTTCGGCCTTCGGCAGAGGGAGGGGGGGTCGTATTTCCGAATTTTCCTCGACGCCTCGCTTGACCCTGGTCCTGAGGTCAGTATCAACTTGAGACCGTTTCTTAAGACAGAGTAAATGTGTCTCGAGTCGGAGACCTCATTCATTTCCCAACATCCGATAGCGCCCCAGCAGAAATGCCGAGGTGATTTGCGTACTCCTTCAATCCGAACAATGGCCGTGCTGTAGGAGGACCGTCGCGAATTCCGCGCGTTATAACTCTTTCCCCTTGGTGATGCTCAGCAGAAGAAGAAAATGTAGGTGAAATTTCTGTCGACCAAGTTTGTCGAAGATGTACATATCCCGTCATAGTCAGCGCTGCCATCTATGTGAAGGGTAACATCATACCAAGGCGGGCGTTCTTTTTTAAGAATGACTGTTTCAGCCTTGCACCTTACATTACGAAACGCATGGGCCAGAAGGAGCTATGCGTCAGTATCTGGTTCAAGGCGTGCGCCACGTCCGAGTGCACATGCCGCGTGCGGTAAGGGGTCGTCACGCCGCGAAATGTCGCGTGGCGCACTGTGACACATTAAGGTGGAGAGCGCACTCGGACAGAAGCATTTCAAATGCTTTTCTAGCTTCCACCGTAGGCGCGTCGCGGTGGGGCGCGCAGTGCGACAAGTTATCGATTTGCTTTCGACATTTCCTCTGCGCACTCCACGACGAAGCCATGACGAGAATGTGGTCGTTCAACTGTACGGAGAGCCATCGCTGAGAAAGGAGAGAATGAAAGTGCGACGATTCTGCAAAAGGGAAGCGCGGCTTCAGGTGAGCACTTGCTTCTCTGCAAGGCGCCAGATCTGCGTGCCGTGTGTGCATCGTCTGCCAGTGCTGCACATTAGGCACTGCTCTCGGCATGGTCGAGAAAAGGTTGCTATGTCCAGGTTCAGTCTCGGCCAAGGGACGGTGTACACGTGCGCCGCTCGATTGCTGCGCTCCAATGTCAACGGAGGCGTCCAGGGCAACGTGGCTACGGTGGATCCTAGGGAACCATACTGATGAGTCGTTCTTGTAGCACTCGGAGATCAAAACGGGTTGTTCTTCACTTTATAGGAAGTCCCATTTCACCGTACCGTATCCTTCCTCTGAATCGGCAGTGATTTTATGCGCTCTCTGTTATCAGTTCATTTTGTTTTCGCTAACGATGCCATAGAGATTTGATAGCAGTCATTTTCTGATCTTGATTACTGAAGCGTACCTTTACCACGGCTGTTTCATCAGCTTTTACGAACGAGAGCGGCGGTCGAACTCGGAAGATATCATTGTCCGTGCATTTGACCTGAATCTCCATTTTGAAGAGCAGGAATCAAGGGCGCGTCCCTATTGACTCGCAAATATGTACAAAGTGATCAGGTGGGACAACTTGAATGCAGAGCTCACGGTTCGCACGAACCATAAGAAGAGGAAACGCTGGGATTGATCGCTGTTTATGCGTCACGGAGTTGCTCTCACTGTGGTCATAGGGCTCAGTTCAGAACGAGCATTTGGCAGAATCCGTGAGCCGCAAAATCATGATTTTTCATCTATCTGTTATAGTTTGCATCAAAGCGCTCATGCCCTGGGGGGCATCCAATACAGAGCTGTTAAGTGAGGCTAGGACTAAGCCCAGCAAAGCGGAGAAACGCCAGAGGAGAACACAAATAGCTCACGTGCTCCCTCAGGATGCCTTCCCCTCCCAGGGCTTAGTTCAAAGCACAGTAATTGGCTGGATGTCCCCCCGTCCCCCCAAAGACATGAGCAGCCCGGCGTCTTGGATTGAAATGTGCTCTTCAAGGTCTACCTTAAACGTTTGTCGATCTTTTGTGGTATTCGTGATTTTCAATTCGATAGTGCATGGCTCATTCAACTTGTACTTGAAGACTAACTTCGTATCGGGATCAACCTAAGAAAAGTTTAGAGAAGAACAGTTATAACTGCTGTATTTGTACCGTTCTGAAACCAAACCTTCAATTGGAATGGTGGCTCGCCCGGTTTATTACCGAGTGGTTTCGACATTTCTGGAATGAATATACGGATAGCAGTACTAGAAATGTGTGCAGAGGTGCTAGAGAACCCACTTTAGAAACTGACCACCTGCAGAGTCTTCAATAAGCTAGTAACGACCTACCATACCAATTTCCACCAGCTATATAGGCTAACTTTAGGCCTATCATTATCAATGAAGTTTCGGTATTTGTTTACATTCGAGATGTGGTGGATTCACTACAGGAAATTAGAACCTTCTATAACACATTCACGACGACGCCCCTTTTCCACTTTTCGCGTGGGACGGACGCGATTTTGTGGGCGCCGCCGCCTCACCACATCACCGCAGATTTTGTTTTGTAAATGAACAAAACCATGAATGTCACAAAATAATTTCTGCAATGTTTTGCCGCCCCAATGCGTAAGGATTATCCTTCTATTTTATAAAGCGCTAACTTTGTGTGTCGGACAGGCCCTCGTGACAGGCCGGCCTACACGAACACCCACGTCACATCACAAATGGTAATGTCGCCATATGAATTACGAACATATAAGAAAAGCGGAGCCCGCCTGCGAGCGGATAGAACGCAACAAAAGAAGAAGAAGCGAGTGAGATATGCAGCGCTCCCCTTGCATAGAGTCCTGGGTTTTCTCATAATTCCTGTCCGAACTTTGACACTTCTCTTTACTTTTATCTCTCTTAAAGAGCAATTGGTCAAAAGCATAACCACCATCATGATCACTGATATTCATTCATCTGTTGGGGAATCTTTGAAAGCTTTCCGCCCAGAATGAGTGAAGTGGGGGTTGGAGAATTTGGAGATCGTTCCTGGAGTTTTCGTATGCTTTAACTTTTTCTCTCGCAGGTGCTGATTCAGAGCGTAGGGGAGCCATAGCCCGATGGAACGTTGCCAGTGCTATACGGTGGATGTGGTGTCGTCTATTTCCCTCAGAACGCGACGAATTGGCACTGCAACATGCGGTCGGATGTTAATTCGTATCGAAGGTACTGAGTCGTTTTTGACGGCTCTCTCCCTCGCACTACTGAAGCCAAATTGGGGATGTTTCGTGATGACTTTCGCAAAGCTTGTCTTCATACAGTGATCGTAACCGAATCAGCTACTCAGTAACATCAGCAAATCGAGAGTTGTCTTCTCTGAAAGCGGAGTATGAGCTTTTGTTGAGCTGGTGACTCCTGGCTGCGAAATAGCCATCAGACGAAACACTTGATGAAGCGATAACGAAAAATGTATACAGCTAAAATAAAAGGCAGTCGGAAAACACAATCATATTTATGGAAGGTTAATGAAACAAAAGTCCCAATTCGAGAGCAAATAAATATTTCGCGATGCAATTCTGAACTGATTACTAAAGATTCTTTTTCATTCAAATCTTCAATGCGAATTTGCAGCGAAACGACACGAACAACAAGGATCGACACACTGGTTTGTGACTGGAGAACCGACGGCAGCTGGCGCCTAGAGAAATTTCGGCGGCGGGGCTCCGGGAATCCAAGAAGAACTGCAAGTAAAAGCGGCTTCGTTCCACACGACGCCTTCTTTCTTGGTCGCGCGAGCTCTGCAATATAGATCATTTATATTTACCCTAATAGCCTCCCCTCTCACGGAGACCAAATATAGAAACATCCTGAAATTTCTACTATTTCGAACTTGTCGTGCATTTAGAAAAACGCGGTGGTCCCTAATGAATTCTTCATGAAGAAAAACCTTAATTTTTTTTGGAGAATTTCCCATCTTGAATCACTCAAAGCGAGGATTACGATAAGATTGAACCAGTTCATAGTTAAAGCGAGGATGCTGAATAATGCTCCAGTGGCGAAAAAAGCGAAAAATTGCGCCAAGAACGCGCGAAATGACAGAAAAAAATCATGAGCAAGGTTTCCACCATGAGGGTCTAATAATAATCACCTTTTTTCGAAAAATGAGCAGCAAGGTTGGGATAGCAAGAATAGGGTATCTATCGTATACAATACATAATCCGCTATGCGGATGTGCGAGTGTATAGTATATTATATTATTATATTATTAGTTTATATTATATTATTAGTATAGTAAATATGTGTGGCTGTCTGTATATCGGAAATCCAAAATCTTAGTCCCTTTGGGGAGTGAACGCTGAAACACCAAAGGCATGTAGTGGGCTCGACGCGAATAGTGATCATGGGTGGCTAAAGTGATAAATGCTGGCAGGAGTTGATAAGGGACTTCGGTATGCCCATGTCACCAATTTCATTGACACCATTCGCGTTGACAATGGAGAGTTTTTCTCATATGAAGCAGGAGGGAGACCAGAACAGAGGGCAAAAAAGGAGATAGTAAGTGATAAGGGACATCAAGTTGTAGATACCACCAGTATCATTGCTTTCGCAGTGACAGTAGAACCTTGGCTCTTAGGTGGTATAGGAGAGCAGACTAGAGTACGGATATTTGGTGTCCGAAAGTGATAGCAATCGATAACGATTGATAAGGAAGTTTAGAATGTAAGTACCATCAATTTCGTTGTAGTCTCCGCGGTGACAGTAAATCTCTGACTTCTCCATTTTGCGTAAAGGTTGGACGGAGACACTGACGGTGCGTGGCACGAGCTGATAAAATATAAAAAGGATAAAGCATTTGCCGTTGATCAATCCCTTTTTGGGATGCGGCACGCATTCTACTTCCATTTGTACATTCGTAGTGGCGTTTGAATGCGATGTGGCCTATACAATGACTTGCGGGGGCCAGCCGATGTACAAGTCAGTGTTTTTATCCTCCCAGACAAGTCTGGTACCAATTAACCGACCCCGGAGGGATGGAAGGCTTGGTTGGCCCGGGCGACTCACGACCCAGGATTTGATCCCCGGACCGCTCGCGTGGTAAGCGTGCCACTTGCCACTACACCACTTCCGCCCTATAACTAATGATAAGGACAACTAAAGGAACTCTGCAAGCAAGCACTTTCAGATTAGCTGCGATCGCCACTGGCAAACGATTAAGGTGGCCGGGGTGCTGATGGTGAGTGATAAGCGAAAGCCGTACGCGAGCTTGCGATTTACCGCGTGACAGCCCGGACGAGCCAAAAGTCCGTCGCCCAGTGAAATGAGGATTTTCCAGTGGAAGTGTGTCAAGTTCCTCGAGCTAGCAAAAAAGGTTTCGCACAGTGCGTTCACTCCGCTCGACATCAAGAAGTCGCCAAACACTCTGGAGGAAAAAATCGATGCGGGGTAAGGGTGGAAAAAAGGCAACATTCGAACATCGTCACACAGAACCGGCAAGAGAAGCTGCGTCCGAAAATTCGCAGAGCGCACCCACATCTGGATGCGGGAAAGCAATCCAAGGAAAGCATTCGCTACAACGTCGAATTGCCACGGCTAGGCGTCAAGCACTCAAAGGGGGCATTCACTACAGCGAGGAGGGGCATATCAGAGAGGAACATGCTGTCCTTGACAGTGTGTATCAACAAGAAGGTAATGAGGGTTGATTACGAGGAGCACGAGAGGCCATCTTTGCGGGAAGAGGTTTGCGCTTGAAGGTCCCAATAAAGGGAACCTGACGCTAAGATCAGTTTTGACTTGTTTTGTGCGTTTTTGTGCGAACCATGTCGAGTTCTGCTAAGATCAGTGTTCCCTGAGAGAGGAGCCTCAGCAGCTTGATGATATTGAATCGTTGGTCAGTTGGGAAGAGCCTCAGTGGCTCAGAGGAGAGAGCCTTTCTGACTCATTTTCATTCGCACCCTTTGTTGGATTTCCTTACCTAATAAACCTCGTTTCCTACTGGTTTCAGACGCAGTAGGGTTGATCCTACGTCGCAGAACACGAATTCACTATCTTATCATACTGCCGTGCTTAGCACGACAACGGTTCTTACATTGGCAATAGACAAGATAAACCGAATTCTGAAGTAACGGAGTTGATCCACTGACCACGCCGAAAATCCCTTACCGTAGAAGCTGTCAAAACTTTACGACTATCCCTCTAAGCCCACGTGCATTACGCGACTCTTTCATAAAAGCCTTGCCACAATGAAATTGGCCATGGAAAAGCGTAGTGATTTTCAATACACACACGAAACATGTGTTTATCAATGAACAAAGAAAAACCACATTATAATACATTATTACTTCATCAAAGTGCAGGAACTGTAGGTACAATATTGAAATCTGATGGGTATAAAAGTTCAGGAAAGGATAGGTTGTCACATTTTCAGGTCATTACGTCGAGCTTTCCTTCGATCTGCAAGTATGAAGGTCATCGCATTGTTTATTGTGCTATGTCTAGCGCAATCCATCACAGGATGTTGGCGTGCCCAGACCCTCACTTTTGGGAAATTCAAAGACATTGGCCTTCTAACATTTGCATACAAATATATGGGGGATATGGTTGTGGATTGGTTCCAACGAAAATTCGTAAGTTAACTAAGCAACGGTTCTCCACATTGTGATGTTCACATTGAAGAAAAATTTCTGCAGGACAAAAACGATCCATTCGGCAATTATAAGGTTCTCTCATATAAGGATGGACGGCCGATTCGAATTCGTTCATTACCCTTTCTTCGTTCTGCAATACGATGAGGTGCGTATCATATTACATAATACATGCTATCAAATTACACTACAGGCGGTGTCTTCAAAGTGTTCCTATCAATTATATGATCACATATTACAGAGGAGGGAAATTTACAAACCATACTACTTTGAATACATAGAGGAGGAGGACAAGACAACAAAGAAGTTCACTCGCAAAATAGGTCCGTTGACCGAAGAGGAATTCACAACTAAATATAACCATTGCAAAAGTGGTGACAATGTTCGCCTCGATGACATATCTTTGTTTATTTCGGTGGAATATAAATTTCGCAATTGTGATATTGTGTAACCTTTGACTACCAACATTAAACGTGTGTTGTGCCAGAATTAGGCAAACATTTTTGGGACAGAACTGGCTTTTACAGAGCGGTGTGTGCACGAGTAGAACGCTTC